CCCCAAAACCCCAAAACCCCAAAACCCCATAAGGCGTTAGATCTAATAATAATAGTAGTTGCAAATTAATTATATTATACATTGATTAAATATTAATGATACAGGCTGTAGTAAATTAGGGCATTGTAATGAATGTCAATCAACCTCAGATTTAGCCAGTATTTAAAAAAAAGAACAGGAGGCGAAAGTTAATGAGGGCCACTATGGAGGAAGTTTTTGAGGTGTAGAGTTAGGAGACTTCTCGAGACTAGCTTGAAGATAATGCAATTGAGGAGTAGCAACATAAAAATGATTGAATAGTCACTGTCGAATAGCTCAATAAGAAAAATTCATTGACAAAGAGGAAGACTAAATTATTTCCATCAACTGATAGATATGAACCGAACATGCTCTATGTATCACCAAAATCTAATTTAAAACGTGATTTCCAAAAACGGCAATAGAGTAACGAGGATCGTGGAGGCTCAATGGTGATCTAAGAAAATCCATTACTGTAATCTTTGAGTAGTATAGCAAACAGCAGCAGTTCCTTTTTTACGCATTTCGAATAGCGGAAAAAACCTGAGACCCAAGTGACAGATGCAAACGGCAATGGGCCTTAAGTAACCTATGTGAACATGCACTCAATGAGTGAAATGAACTATCAATTTATCAAGTATTTGGAATAAAATATCTATGACACAAAGACAATTGAACTTTTCAAGCATCTCAAAACAGTTTCTATGGTAAAGAAAGATAACCTGTTTCAAGCATTTAGGGTTTCTAATAAGACTGGGGCTGAGAGATTAATATACTAAGGCTAAACAAAGACTAAGTTGAAGCTAATAAAAAAGTATTGCTGCTCCCGACCTGTCGAAATTGAAGTTGTAGAAAAGAAAATATTTTTCATTCATTCCAAGATTGACGTTCTAGAATGCAATATAAGACTTGAATATCAGAAGGAAAAAAGGAGCATGATCAAGAAGTTACTATTTTCTAGGAAGTCTCGAACTTATCGAATTTCATTAGATAACCTCAACAGTAACTCCAAAATCGGTTATATAGAAGTTAAGGGGCGATAGTTTACCATCCTAAGCAATCATAAACGCCCTCTTTATGAATTAGAAGTAAATATTGCAGGTAATATCACCATAAGATTCAGTAAGAGTTAGACTAATGCAGACTAAATATTGTAAAAAAGATCCGAGGACGAGATAAACATAACTTTTCCAAACTACCTGAGCTGGTAGGAAAAAGTGCTAATCTTCTCCTGCATTACATAAATTTTAATGCGACTTTATTGATTTGAGGGTTAGCGATAAATTGTTATTCATACTGAGCTTTCTAAGTATTTTAAACTATAATGACGAGAAGTCTCGTTTTAAAAATTTGTTTCTCTATATAAACTTAAGTGTTTTCTTTATCAGTTTATAAATAATTAATTCCTATTTTTACGATTATTGAAAGGTGGGGTTTTGGGGTTTTGGGGTTTTGGGG